ATTAATCGTATATTGTTAAATTTTGTTAACGTTTCTCATCATTGACAATATAAGCTGCCAAATTTTTACTTGGCATTCGCGGCCAGCCTGAATGTGACCAAGGGCCGAATGAAAGTACGAAAGTAAACAGTTGTTGCATTTTTGTACGCAATGAGATCAAAACATGAACACTTCAAAATATAGATTCGCAAATTGTATATATGTCTGTATTGGTATAAGATATATTTTAGTATTCAAGTACTTTCGCGATCTTTTTATCCTGTACATTTACGTATTTTTTAAAATATCAATCGTATTGCGCCCAATTACAAACTTTTGCTGATCAACATCCTGCAGTCGGTCTAGGAAATCACTCACGTATATATCCGTGACGTTATCCCCGTCGGGTGATTCGGCACTGAATTATCCCTCGAATGGCTGCGATGCTTGACCTTCTACATATTTGCATATTAATAGCACGGCACAGAAAACAAAACAAGTGTAGTTAATTAGACTCGAATGTTCGATACTACGGGTTGACTTCGACCGATATATCAACTCCGTATCACTAGACTCATTAGAGTCGTCGCAACCATGAAATTTTGCCGTTCAAAAATGTTAACGGTACTCTTGAAAATGAATCTCTCTGACTCGACGATCATTTATGTCAGATATCTACTCAAAACATTCAAATTGTCGATCCGATATGTCCAATTGTGGAAGAAGTGCTCCACTGCTAAAACCAAAACAACAAACTCGCATAGGTGATAGGTGTCGAAGCAGTCAAGGACCCACAAATATATACATACATATTACATTCTGTTCTCAAAAAAAACCCTAAATTACTGATTGTGAAAGCCTTTCCATAGCTCTCATACACCCTCGTCGTGTGGTACAATCGAACATCGAACACCAAACATGCCATCGTGCATGCACGAAATATCCCTCATCTGTTCTCACTTGTCGTTGAGAAAGTAGAAACAGATATTCAAAGTTGTAGTACTATTTTGTTTTTTGTTTTGTTAAAAACTCAACGAGTCACGACCAAAGCGGCATAGCCTTCTAAAATATTAACTTAAAAAAACATCGCGACTCATGAGTCACGGACTCACGGTCTCACGCCTCACGGTTCAGTGACTGTTCACACTTCAGTCACAGTGACTTCACAGTTCACACTTCAGAAGTTCAGTCTTTCACACAATCAGTAAAATCAGATGAAACTATGAATCAGTAATCCAGTATGTATGTATAATAATCTACATATGTACATATAAATATGTAAATTCAAATCACACTCCAGAGTCCAGGCCTCCAGCCGTCCAGCGGACCAGCTGTGAATTCAGGAATTTCAGGACTGCAGTTTCTTCAGTATAAATCCTTCACCCAACAGCCTTTTTTTTTAAATACAGCAGCCAGCACAGGCGCGCAGCACATTGACTGTGAGCGACCGAGCGGCCACTCCGGCCAGTGAGCGACTGAGACAGGGAGCACTGAGAGGTGAGCAGTGAGCACACTTCTCTGGCACAATTGCGCGGCACAATTGCGCGGTAGTGCCGTGAGAGAGCAACGTGTAGCAAATCTAATAGTTTTATTTCTTCAGCCTTGTATAAGAGACTCCACCGGCCCACCCAGTACTACCGAATATCGGGTCTATTACATTATTTAAAAAACAAATGCAAATACCATGATTAATTGATTAGTGTCCACTGTCCAGTCACCACTCACCACTCTGGCTGTCTAAACTCTGAATAGAAAGTTTTTTATATTAAAAACCAATAAAGGCCGGTATCACAGCAGCTAAATACAATCGCTGATTGACCCAATAGTTTTCATTGTTTTTGTTTTAGATAAAAAACTTGCATCGGTAATTATGTATGTATGTGCGAATTACGATTCCATAATACGCACTCTCGTAGTGAATTTCGTACCAGTAAAAATATACAGTCGACACTCGACACTCAACAGTCGCATGTATTTGCATCATTTAACTTTTTGTATAAATATTTGAAATATACAGAAAGGCTTTAGGCTAGGGGAACTCCTCCTTGGAGTCGAATTTATTGGATCTATAATTTCAAACCAGCTGTTGTTCTGTAGTGATTTTGCATTGTTCACTGTTTTCTATTTTTCTTAGTTGCAAGAAGGTTGTTAGGTGGCCCTGTCGGAATTTCTATTTTTTTAAATTACAATTTTGTCCTGACCCCTATTTGTACCCATAGGGTTTCAGGCCAGATCGTTTTCTCAATTTGAAGCCAATTTGAAGCCAATATGAAGCCAATATGTATCCAATTCCTAAAAAATACTCTAAATTCGCTCAAAACATCAGTTTTGAATACCGAACTCAGAACTTTGTCAATATTTTATGTATATTTTCGAGTGTGGCAGTTCAAAACAGGCTCATATATTTCGTAAAATTCCGACGTCCTCTGGTTCGCCTGTGCCTTCGGGCCATACAGCGAGAACGCGCGAGACGAACAGTACCAGTGGTAACGTGAGTCTCCCACTGGCAGAGTTTATTTTTGTTTTTTTCTAAAAAAATAAGATTCCAGGGGTCTTGTCTTCCTCAGGGTGGGATGGTGGGTGTTTCTTCTTTCTGGGGCTTCTGGGGGTTGTATCTGAGAAGTGAAGTTTCACACTGATCCTTGTAGTCCTTATATATTCGGCCGGGGTCTCATTTTTGGTTTTTGGTCCGGCTTGTAGGACTGGGTCTTGTGTTCGAAATAGTTCTATAAAAAACCCCCCCAGAAGACTTCTCCGGCACTTTTAAAGTTATTAAAAACATTATGTTTTCATTGTAAAAATACACCTGAGTCCTGAAGTTAGAAGTCACAAATGCACTCGGAGTCCCAAAAACCAGGAGAGGGGGGGTGGCCTCAACCAAAGTAGCACATCCGAATAGCCTCGTATGTATGTAAAAAACAAAATGTGTGATTTTGTGAAGAACTTGTGATGGAACACTTAAAGTCTGAACTTCTATGGTACAGTTTCAGATTTATTTATTTTTTAAAAACAAAAAACAATGTATATTAAATTTAATGCAGTAGATCAGATAGAGGATAATTGTTTATTTTTATTTTTAAAAATATATGGACATTGCAAATAATTGTAAATAAAAATCACTGACCCCAGAGCCCAGTGGAGGCGGTGACGGAGTGACCGACCATCTGACCACCGACAACTGTATTTTTATAATAATAATAGTACTGACTGTTCTTAGGTCTCTTGGTACAGTCATACCTCTTTATATGTCTACCTCTTTAATTGTTTACCTCTATATAATGTATATATATATGTATATACATATAATAATACACCTGTAC